CAGCAACCGGGACAGCAGCAGCAGCAGCAGCAGCAGCAGAAGCAGCAGGGGCTGCAGCAAGGGCAGCAGCACCTGCAGCAGCAGCAGCGACGCGCAACTTCCCGCTCCTCCCCTTTCCTCCTTCCTCGCATGCACACCCGCTCCCTGGACAGACTCATTGGAGCCCCTCCTCCCGCCTCCATTCAGCTCCTCGAGGACTCCCATGAGGAGTTCCTCAACATTCGGCAACACACATTCGAGGACTCTACCTTGACTTCCTCGGCTTTCCCGTCCTTGGCGCCACCTCCACCCCAACCATCTTCACTCCCACCACCTTCCAAGAGGCCATCACCTGCCCTGACGCGGACAAATGGATAGCGGCGATCTTCTTGGAGTGTGAGGCATTTATTCGCAACGACTCCTTTGTCGATGTCCCCCTCCCAGCCGGCGCCAACCTCGTCGAGAGAAAATGGGTCTTTCGGGTGAAGCAGCTGCCGGGCGAGGAGCCGGTCTACAAGGCACGCTACTGCGCCAAGGTTTTTACGCAGACTTGGGGCAAGGATTTCTGGTTCACCTACGCCCCCACCGCCAAACCACCCACCTTTCGCGCAGCCCTTGACATTGGCGCACGTGACAACATGGAGATATGCTCCATGGACGTCTCCAATGCGTTCCTGCAGGGCGACCTGCACGAGCGCATCTTCCTCAGACGGCCCCCTGAGTTCCATGCTGCCTTTCCTGAGAACACCGTCTGGCAGCTGCGTCGCCCTGTCTATGGCTTGAAGCAGGCGCCAAGGGAGTGGCACGCGAAGCTATCTGTCCCTCGGCTTCTCTGTATCCCACTCCGTTGCCAGCCTCTTCATTCGCTCCTCCCCTCGCCGCTTCTTCATTCTGGTGTATGTGGACGACATGATTCTCCTTTCTGACTCCAAGGCTGACATGGAGCAGATGAAGATGTCATTGCAGCAGCGTCTCAAATGCAAGGACCTGGGCGACCTCACGCACTACCTAGGCATGACCATCACGCGCGACCGCCTTGCTCGCACCATCACCCTCTCCCATTCCCACTACATCGGCCAGGTCTTGGAGAAGTTCGAGATGGCGCATGCCAAGCCCGTGTCCACCCCCCTCCCTTTCGGCCACCAGCTCGCTCCGCTCACTTCTCCCTCCTCCTCCCCTCACCCCTATGCCGAGCTCGTTGGTTCGCTGATGTACGCAATGATGTGCACCCGCCCCGACCTCGCATACCCCATTAGCGTGCTCGTACGCTTTGTTGGCACCAGTCGTCATACTGAGGAACATTGGAAGGCTGCTAAGCGGCTCCTCCGCTACCTTTGTGGGACCAAGGACCATGTCCTCACCCTTGGCGGCCCCTCCCCTCCTCTCCTTTCGGGCTTCAGTGATTCCTCATGGGCTGACTCGCAGCCGGACCGCCGCTCCTCTCAGGGCTACGGTTTCACACTTGGCAGCGGCCTTATCAGCTGGCGCTCCACCCGCTCCTGTGCCATTTCTCTCTCCACCTGCGAGGCCGAGCTCTACGCTGGCACCATGGCCGCCCAGGAGTCACGCTGGCTCTGCTTTCTTCTTGCCGAACTTGGCGCCCCCCAGCCGTGTCCCACTCTCTGGTGTGACAACGCCAGCACCATCCACCTCACTCAAGATCCCGTCTATCACGCCCGCTCCAAGCACATCGAGCTCCGCTACTTCTTCATCCGCGAGCTCGTCCAGCAAGGCCTCATTTCAGTTCGGAAGATTGCGGCGGAGGCCAACTTGGCTGACATCTTCACCAAGGCCCTCCTTCGCCCTGCGCACTCTTCTTTCCTCCGTCTCATTGGCCTTGCTCGCCCGGGCGCCCCTTGATTCAGGGGTTGTTCTCTTCATGTGTTCGCATGCTAAGGGGTTGTGTTAGAATCTATATGTTATAGCATGCGAACACTTGTGACTGTACACCAAGAGTGGTGTACAGTTAGGTTGGTTCAGGCTCTACTTTTGGGTATACTGTGGGTAGACACCCTAATTGGGGTGAACCCAAATATCCTAGCTTAGACTTGGCTCCAACCTTGTTGGCCAAGTGGGGCAACCAACTTTGGTTAGGTTTGGTGTTCTTCTCCAACCTTCTCTTCCTTGTATAACCTTGTGCTCTCTTGAGCTAATGTTAACAATTCTTCCTCAACTTTCTATAGCTCATAGTTTCTTTCAGGGCGGTGAAGGGCGGTTGAGACAGGTTGAGTGAAGTGGGGAGCCGTATCTCGCGGTTGGGAGTGGTTTAATGCGGTGAAGGGCGGTTTCTCACGGCTGGGAGTTGTCTAGTGCGGTTGAGAGGCGGTTTAGGGTAAGTTTGGGCGGGCGGGACGGGCGGCAGCGGGCGGCAACGGGCGGCTAACGGGTGGGGCGGTCGTACGTTTTGGCCGCGGGGCCAGCTAGGCGCAGGCCACGGGGCCGTCGAGCAAGGGCCTCGGGGCCCGCTACTGAAGGCCGCGGGGCCTGCTAACGCGTGGGCCGCGTGGCCTGCGTTCTACGGTCGCGCGTGAGAAAACATTAACAAGGGGGGGGGTCGAACGGGCGATTGCGGTCGTACGTTTGGCCGCGGGGCCAGCTAAGCGCAGGCCACGGGGCCGTCGAGCAAAGGCCTCGAGGCCTGCTACTGAAGGCCGCGGGGCCTGCTAACGCGTGGGCCACGGGGCCTGCATTCTACGGTCGCGCGCGAGAAAAAAACGGACGGGAGGAGGGGGGGGGGGGGGGGGGGGGGGGGGGTCGAACGGGCGACGGCGGGAAAAACGCGACGCGCTATGAGCGACGGGCGACGGTCGACGTGCGACGGACGACGGGTGACGCGCTACGAGGCGCGCGCTATGACGAGGCGCGCGTTAGTACGAGGCGCGCGAGTGGTGGGCCCATGACTATCGAGTGAAATTTCGCCTAGGGAAAAATCGCATAGGGGAAAAATCGCCTAGGGGGAACCTCGCTCTATACCATGTTAGAATATGAGAATGAATGACTAGCAAATGAACAAACAAGCAAGATATAAGTCAGCCCTAACCCTAAACCTAGGACAAAGTAAATGCATCTAGACTAGAACAATACAAACTATATCATTATAGTTTGACAGCAGCAGCAGTTGCAGCAGCAGCAGTGGCAGCAGCAGTGGCAGCAGCAGTGGCAGCAGCAGCAGTGGTAGCAGCAGTGGCAGCAGCAGTGGCGGCAGCAGTGGCAGCAGCAGCAGCGGTGGGCGAAGGTTGAGATCAGGGAGGTTGAGAAATGTCTCGCATGGCTGCTGAGGGGAGCTGCATAAGAAATGACTGGCGGTTTGGGTGCAGGGTGTACAAATTCACAGAAGAGAGGGTATATTTGTCAGAATGTTATATTGTCTAGTCTGCAGTGGGGTACTCAGTAGTGAGTACAACCCTTTTAGGGTTCCTACATGTATCCCACCTGCCTGCTAGTGCAAACCCCCTTCTACCATTTCTTCTCATCGCATAGTTCCAACATGTTATCAGAGCAGGTCGACCCTCCTTGGTCGATCCTGTGGATGGGCCCTACTGCTTCCGCTGCTATCCTGTTAGTCGCGCGGCATGTTTTTCTGCCTGCTGCGCGCCCGGCGCACGCGGCGTTTTTTCTTCCCGCCGCGCGCTCGGGACGCACGGCGGTTTTTTGCCCGCCACGCGCTCGGGGCGCGTGGCGGTTTCCTGCCCGCCGCGCGCCCCGGGCGCGCGCGGCGGTTTCGTCGCCCGTAGCGGCGCCCCGGGGGCCCACGTGCTGTCCCCTCCCGTCGCCCGTCGCGGCGCCCCGGGGGCCCGCGTGTCGCCCTGCCCGTCGCCCGTCGCGGCGCTCTGGGGGCCCACGCGCCGCCCTGCCCGTCGCCCGTCGTGGCGCCCTGGGGGCCCGCGCGTCGCCCCCCTCCCGTCGCCCGTCGCGGCGCCCTGGGGGCCCGTGCCCCGCCCTTCCCGTCACCCGTCGCGGCGCCCTGGGGGCCCGCGCGTCGCCCCCTCCCGTCGCCCGTCACGGCGCCCTGGGGGGCCGCGCGCCGCCGTGCCCGTCGCCCGTCGCAGCGCCCCAGCTGCTGCCCGCGTATCTGCCCCGCGCCCCACGAGCGTCGCCTGCGTTGGGGGTATGGGGGTGGCGGGTGTGTGAGCCGGCCCCTGCTCCTCCTCCTCCTCCGTCTCCCACTGCTGCAGCTGCCGCTGAGGGGGGTGGGTGTGTGGGAGCCGAGGGAGTGGCGCTGGGGGAGGGTGTGGGGGAGACTTGGGAGTGGCGCTAGGGCCGAGGGGTGTGACACGGGGGGGATGGGACAATACGAGGGGGGTGAGGGCGGGTGGCCGCCGTGAAGTCCGCAGCTCTAGTCGCGCGTGAGACCGTTGCGTCAGAGGCCCGTGGGTCAGTTGCTCTTGCCGGCGAGCGAGCCAGTTACTCCGGTTACCCGTTGCTCCGGTCCCCAGAGGGTCAGTTGCTCTTGCCGGCGAGCAGAGCCAGTTACGCCGTTTGCGACCAGTGCCAGCAGCTTCAACGGCCGCCCACCTCCTCTCCCCTCCAGTTTCCTCCTCCTCCTCACTTGCCCTCTGCTATGTCTGCCACTAGGGCTAATTTGTGAACTTGATCTACGACTGCTTGTTGTGCTGATTATACCCCACTTTGCCTATGGGGGTGTGTCAGAATGTTATATTGTCTAGTCTGCAGTGGGGTACTCAGTAGCGAGTACAACCCTTTTAGGGTTCCTACATGTATCCCACCTGCCTGCTAGTGCAAACCCCCTTCTACCATTTCTTCTCATCGCATAGTTCCAACAATAGTGTGTATGATGGAGCTTGTAAGGCACTACTGCTGCTGCTGCTGCTGCTGCTGCTAGGGAACTGGGTGTGCAATGAGGATATGTGCTTGCAGATAGAGGGGTAGGTTGGTAGGGAGTAATGATGAGGGAAAGGGACATAAGTGATGATGAGGAGAGGCTTGTAGGCTCGGAGTGTGGATGTGTGCAAGTTGTTGGCTGGGTGAGCCTCTGCCTGTGCACTGCTGAGGGTAGGCTTATGGTTCTGAACTTGTGCCTTGACATCTGCAATAATGGGTGACGTTCAACTAGTCTTGCTGGCCGGATGTTTCCTGCAAGCTAGAGTAGACCTCACTTTTATCGCCTTTCCGACTGAAAATGCCCCAATCTGTCAAATGTTGATATTTGTGATAGGCTGTAGTGAGTTGCTCCTTAGAGAGTATAACACAGTTAGGGTTGCCTATTTGTATTGCCTTGTTTCCTAAACTCACCATCCCTTTGCATTCTACTCTTGAGATGGTATCATAGTAGGTTCGAGTTCCTTAGCCCTATCCTAGCCCTAGCCTAGCCCTAGCGCCCTCCGCGCCCACGCGCCCTCCGCGTCTTAGCGCCCTCCGCACCTTAGCGCCCTCCGTGCCCTCTGTGCCCTCCGCGCCCTCCGCACGTTCGTGCCCTCCGTGCCCTCCGCACGTTAGTGCCCTCCGCGCCCTCCGCGCCCTCAACGCACGCCTAGCCCGGCCCCTCCCACTGTCGCGCCCTCCCCCTGCCCGTCGCGTCGCCCCCCCCTCCCCTTCCCCTGCCCGTCGCGTCGCCTCCTCTCTCCCTGCCCGTCGCGTCGCCTCCCCTCCTCCTGCCCGTCGCGTTCGCCTCCCCTTCCCCTGCCCGTCGCGTCGCCTCCCTTCCCCCTGCCCGTCGCGTCGCCTCCCCTCCTCCTGCCCGTCGCGTTCGCCTCCCCTTCCCCTGCCCATCGCGTCGCCTCCCTTCCCCCTGCCCGTCGCGTCACCTCCCCTCCTCCTGCCCGTCGCGTTCGCCTCCCCTTCCCCTGCCCGTCGCGTCGCCTCCCCTCCTCCTGCCCGTCGCGTTCGCCTCCCCTTCCCCTCCCCGTCGCGTCGCCTCCCTTTCCCCTGCCCGTCGCGTCGCCCTCCCATCCCCGCCCCTGTCCTACCGTCGCGCCCTCCTCCCCGCCCCTTCTCACCGTCGCGCCCTCCTCCCCACCCCTTCCTACCGTCACGCACCCTCCTCCCCGCCCTCTCCTAACGTCGTGCGCCCTCCCCCCGAGCCCACCGTGCCCTCGCCCTCACCTAGGCTCGCGCCTCCGCGTTAGCCCGTTCCCACCCGCGATTGGCACGCGCCCGAACCCCACTACCGCCCTGCGCGCGGGGCCCTAGACAACTCTTTTGCCACTGGTCTCGCCCTCAGCGGCTGGCAGCCGCTTTCTTTCGCTGGCCACCTAGGGTAGACCCGTGTTCTTGCTAGTTCCTCGCCCCTAGTGCATGTAGCTGGAGTTCCGCCGTTTCACGCCTAGACTAGGTCCCTCCGTGCTCCTAGCCTCTAGCTCCGCCGGTCTCACACCGCACCACCTCTGGCGCTCCTAGGCTTCCCTCCTCGTTCTTAGCTCCGCCTCCGCCGAGCTCCGGCCACCTCTAGCATGGCCTCCGTTATGGAGTCCCGTCGCCTTCGTTTCGATGCGGAGGGACGCCCGATAGAGTTCGGTACCTGGCAGCGCCAGACCACGCGTTTCCTTACCAGCCAGCGTCAGGACGGCGCCACTCTGTCGGCCCACGCGTCTGGTGCCCTCAAGGCCCCCCCGTCCCCCGCCGCCCTCCCGACCGCCTCGGAGCCGATTCCTACGGCCCAGGCGGACTACGAGCGTCGGGTCCTGGCACGGGACGTGTGGCTCTCTCGTGACACTGCCGCCGCTCTCACGCTGTCGGAGCTTCTCCCCCCGACTGAGGCCGCCCACTTTGACAAGGTGGAGACAGCACAGGGGGTTTGGGATGCTATTGTTGCCCGCTATTCCTCTGCCTCCCTCAGTCGCCTCCTCATGTCGTTCGTGTTTCCCGACCTAGGCTCCTTTGCGACTGTGTCCGACCTAGTGACTCACCTCCGCTCACTTGACGCCGGTTTCCGTGCGGCCTGTACCAACGCCCAGCTTCTTGCTGCTCCCCCCCTCATGTGGCTCACTGTGCACTGGTTAGTCACCCGCCTCCCGGACCGCCTTGCCACTGCTCGCGACTCGCTTCTCCAGAAGCACCCCACTGAGCTCACCATCGATCTCCTTGAGACCGCTCTCAGGACGATCGAAAGTAGTCTCCTCACCGTTGCCTCCGCCACTGACGCAGTAGCCCCCCGTCTCTTTGCGGGGTGTGCCGCCCCTCAGCTTCCCACTTTCACTGCTACCTGCGCTTCTGCTGCTGTGTCGGTTTCTGAGGACACTGCTGCCGTTTCCGCCGCAGACTGGCAGAAACGGGGCAAGGGTGGCAAGAAGGGCGGGAAGGGGGGAGGTAGAGGCGGTGGAGGCGGTGGCGGAGGTCGAGGTGGAGGTGGGAGCGGCGGCGGCGGTGGTGGAGGTGGCGGTGGCGGCGGCGGCGGTGGTGCACCAGGAGGAGGGGGCCTTGGCGGAGGTGCAGGACAGACAGGCCCACCCACTGGTGTTGGCCCCCAGCAGCAGCAGCCACAGCAGCACCAGTCACAGCAGGGACAGCAGCAGCAACAAGGACCGCAGCAGCAGCAGGCACCGCAGCAGTTCTAGCAATGGGGGCCCCCACTGCAGTGGGTTCCGCAGCAGCACTGGGGTCCCCCGCCGCAGTGGGGTCCGGGAGGACCAGGGAGCACCGGCCGCAGCGGCAGCACTTCCAGCTGGGCCCCTCGCCCCCCTCACCGTGACACTGGCCCCTGCACCCACTGGTGCCTCACCGGACCTGGCAGCCCCTGTCTCTGCGGTCGTGACGACCACTCTGCCGCGCGGTGCTTCCGCCGCCTCGACGACCTCTACCGTGCTCGTTGGGGCCCTACGACGACCACGCCTCGCTGGGCTCGCCTGTTAGCCCGTAAGATTGATGTGTTTGATCTGTCCATGGACGATGCTCGTCCGCATGCTTTGTATGCTGATGTTGACTATAGTGCTGATGGATCTGTGTGTTCGCGTGTTCGTAGACTAGCTTGCTTGCCTCCTGCTAGTGTAGACTTGTGCCTTTCTAGTCTAGGTGCTTGTGTTGCTGCTCTAGGTGCTTGTGTAGCCACTAGGACAGGTGACCCTCCCGCTGAGGCGTCCCTGTCCTTCACGCTGGACTCTGGTGCGTCTCAGTGCTTCTTCCGCGACCACACGACCCTCACGCCACTCCTCACTCCTGTTTCGGTGGCTCTGGCTGATCCTACCTCAGGACCAGCCGTTGCGCGTAGCTCCACTACCCTCCCGTGTCCTGTGGTCCCCTCTGGTGTCCTGCGCGGCCTCCACATCCCCTCGTTCCCTCGGAACTTGGTGGGTGTTGGTTACCTCCAGGACAGGGGGATCACGGTTACCTTTGTGGGGGGTGGGAGGACTGCGGTCTGTACAGACGCTGCCACATGTGCTGTTCTGGCCACGTTCACCAGGGAGCCCCGCTCCGGTCTCTACGTTCTCCACACCGAGCGCTCCCAGGTTGCGTCCTCCGCTCAGGTCGTTGCGTCCCCTCCAGTCCAGGTGTCCAGTCCGGTTGCTGTGTCTAGCCAGGTAGTCGTGTCTGGTTCAGTTGCAGGGTCTAGTCAGGTCGCGCTGTCTAGTCCAGTCGCTGCGTCCTGCTCCTGTCGGTCCCTCACCCACCGGACCGTCTTGTGGCACCACCGCCTTGGACACCCGTCGATCCCCCACCTCCGCGGGATGACCACTCACGGGCTTGTCACCGGTCTCCCACGCACCTTTCCGTCGCTCCCCACCTCCCCAACTCCCCCTTGCACTCCTTGCGTTGCCGGTCGCTTACGCTCCACTCCCCACTCCTCCTCCCTTCGTCCGGCCACTGCTCCCTTCGAGACCCTCCACTTGGACGTCTCGGGCCCTGCCCCGACGCAGGGTTCTGGGAGGGAGCGTTACTTTCTGGTGGTCGTCAACGACTTCTCCAGGTACACCACAGTGTTCCCTCTCGCGAAGAAGTCCGAGGTGACTGCTACGCTGATCCGGTGGCTTCTGGCTACTGAGGGCACTCGCGGTCGTCGTGTCAGTTGTCTACACTCCGACCGTGGGGGCGAGTTTCGCTCCGGCATTCTTGGCGGATTCTGCGGCGAACACAGCATCGTACAGTCCTGGACGCTTCCGGAGTCCCCACATCAGAATGGGGTTGCTGAGCGCCGCATTGGCTTGGTCATGGACATTGCTCGCACGTCCATGATCCATGCCCGTGCGCCCCATTTTCTGTGGCCCTACGCGGTTCGCTACGCGCGCCACCAGCTGAACCTCCAGCCGCGCGTCTCACGGCCCGAGGCTTCACCGACCAGTCTTTGGACCGGTTCCCCTGGTGTTGGGTCGGCTTTTCGTGTCTGGGGCTGCCTTGCGCTTGTTCGCGACACCTCCGCGGACAAGCTCTCGGCACGCGCCGTCCCCTGTGTCTTCCTTGGTTTCCCAGTGGACTCTGCCGACTGGTCCTTTTACCACCCGCCCCTCCACCAGTTCCTAGACTCCCGTGACGTCCGCTTTGACGAGTCTGTGTCTTACTACACCCGGTACCCCTGTCGAGGTCTCCCGGTACCCCCTCCCCCTCTTTTCCTCGCACCCTCTCCTCCTCCTGCTCCCGCTCCTCCGGTACCCCCGCCCCCCCCTGGTCCTGCCCCGTCTGGTGTGTCCCACGCTACCCCTCTTCCCTCGGTCGCGCGTCCGGTCGCGTCTCCCTCCCCGCAGTCCTCCTCACAGTCCCCTCAGCAGCCTTCGGCACCTCCGCGACAGGTTACTGTGGACTCGGTTGGTGTGGGAGCTGGAGGTGCAGCCGCTGGCGGTCCTCGGTCTGGGGGTGCTCGTTCGAGGGGTGCTGGAGCTGGAGGTGCTGGCGCGGGTGGCGCTAGCTCTGGGGGTGCTGGAGCTGGAGGTGCTGGCGCAGGTGGCGCTAGCTCTGGGGGTGCTGGAGCTGGAGGTGCTAGCACTGGAGGTGCTAGTTCTGGGGGTGCTGGAGTTGGAGGTGCTGACGCAGGTGGCGCTAGCTCTGGGGGTGCTGGAGCTGGAGGTCCTGGCACAGGAGGTGCTGGTTCTGGGTGTGCTGGAGCTGGAGGTGCTGGTTCTGGGGGTGCTGGTGCTGGAGGCGCTGGCACTGGAGGTGCTGGTTCTTAGGAGTTTGGGGCTGGAGACCCTGGTTCTGCGGAGTCCACTCCGCCTCCCCACCGCCACGATACGCGTCTCCAGGCGGCCCGTTGGCGTGAGCGTGAGGAGCAGGTGCTGTTGGAGAGGGAGCGGCAGGAGTTGCGGTAGTTGGACCTGCTGCTGGAGCAGCAGCAGCGACCGCAGCAGCAGCCGCCGCCGCAGCAGCAGCAGCAGACACCACCGCCGCCGCCGCGACCACCGCAGCTCCCTCTGGAGCGGCAGTTGTTCCCACCCGTGAGTGGCCTTCGAGCCCTTGGTCTTCCCTCCTCTCCTCATGTTCACACTCCGTCCCCTCCAGCGTTTGGTCCCACGTTTCCTCCTCCTGACGACAGTCCGGCGGTCTGGTCTTCTCCTCCACCGCAGTCTCCTCCACCTCGTGTCCCACACTCTCGTGTCCGTCCCTGTCCTCCGCGTGCTCGTCCCTCGTCTCCCGTTACCGACCTCCGCACCGCCCTCCTTTGTTCGTCTCTTCGTCGTCCTCCTCCTGAGACCGTTCTCCCGTCTCCTCCTCTGTCCTCTCTCCCTTTCCCCCCTACTCCTGTCACTGACTACTACCGCGCTGTTTGTCCTGTTGTCTCTCGTGTCCTCGCCCCTCTTGTCACCACCTCTCGTTTCCCTCCGTCGTCTGTCTCGGCTCTCACTGCCGCTGTCGCTGAGTTTGCTGCCGCCAGTCACCTTGACTACACCACCCGTGTGGTGCCAGCTCCTCCCTCCCGTCCTCTATCCGTCGGGGGTGAGTTTGCCCTTGGCTGTGACGTCCTAGAGGACAGAGAGTCTGAGCTGGAGTACTGGGCAGCTGCTTCTCCCTCTGTCTGTGCCATGCTGCTATCCCCTGAGGGAGACCCCGACGCCCTTGACATACCGACTCCTCGTACTTACCGCGAGGCAGTGTCAGGGGCGTGGGCCTCTCAGTGGAAAGCGGCTATGGCCTCGGAGTTAGCGTCTTGGAGATCCACAGGCACCTACGTCGACGCAGTTCCCCCTCCCAGGGCGAACGTAGTCGATGGCATGTGGCTCTTCAGGTGAAGCGGCCGCCTGGTTCACCGCCTGTGTTCAAGGCGCGCTACGTTGCTAGGGGTTTCAGTCAGCGTGAGGGAGTTGACTTCTTCCAGACCTTCGCCCCGACATCGAAGATGACTACTCTTCGGGTGTTACTGCACGTAGCAGCACAGCGAGACTACGAGCTGCACTCCCTTTACTTCTCTACTGCGTTTCTCCAGAGCAGACTACACGAGGAGATCTGGCTACGCCGCCCTCCTGGCTTCATTGACACCTTCCCACCTGGGACCCAGTGGAGCCTGAGACGGCCAGTTTACGGTCTCCGCCAGTCGCCCCGTGAGTGGCACGACACTCTTCGCTCCACGCTTCGTGACCTTGGGTTTTGTCCTTCCTCTGCCGACCCGTCGCTGTTTGTTCGCACTGGTTCCACTCCTTTCTTTATACTAGTGTACGTCGACAACTTGGTCTTTGCCACAGCAGACAGGGCAGCTCTGGCTCAGGTGAAGTCCGAACTGCAGAAGAGACACAAGTGTACTGACCTAGGTGAACTGCAGCCCTACCTTGGCCTGCAGATCACCAGGGACAGAGCCGCTCGCACCATCACACTGACTCAGTCACACATGGTGCAGCAGGTCCTTCGGCGGTTCGACTTCCAGTTCTCCACCACACAGCCCACACCTCTTGCTGTTGACCACAGACTCACTGGCCCCTTTCCCGACGAGCCATTTAAGTCCAGTGGTCCCTACGCAGAGCTGGTGGGCTGCCTCATGTACCTGATGACTTGTACTCGGCCGGACCTCGCCTTTCCCCTCAGCATACTTTCTCGCTTTGTTGCGACTGGGAGACACCGTCCTGTCCACTGGACAGCTGCTGTGAGGGTGGCGAAGTACCTGGCGACTACATCAGGCATGGGGCTTGTACTTGGAGGGACTCAGCCAGTGGCGTTGACTGGTCACTGCGACTCTTCCTACGCTGACGACGTGGAGACTCAGCGCTCGACTCAGGGATAGTGCTTCAGTCTGGGAGCTGGTGCTGTGTCGTGGAGGTCTACACGGTCGTCGTCTGTGGCTACTTCCAGTGCAGAGGCAGAGATCTACGCTGGTGCCATGGCGGCACAGGAGCTTCGCTGGTTGACCTTCTTGCTCGCCGACCTTGGTGAGCGGCCTCGCTCTGCACCGACCTTGTACGCTGACAACAAGGCCATGATCCTCCTCTGTCGAGAGCCTCAACTGGAGAGCAGAGTGAAGCATATTGACGTGAGGTACTTCCTCCTGCGAGAGCTGCAGCGACGCGGCCAGGCACGCCTGGACTTTGTGGCCTCAGAGGCCAACACTGCAGACGTCTTCACCAAGGCCCTAGCGCTTGGTGACCACCACAGGTTCTGTGTGCAGTTGGGGCTTGTTGAGGTAGGCCATCGGTTGCTGTAGTCTTGTTGCTTGCTCTGCTTGTTTTGCTTTCCTATATATATCCTAGTGAACTCTTGAACTGGCCTTGTGGCCGCTTGCTTGCGCTCGGAATTTGTGTGGTGTCCTTGAGATCCACCCTGAGCTTGTTTTGCTTCTTGCTGACTGGTCTTGTGACCGTTTTTTCACCCTGCTTGTTCTAGTGCCCCTCACTTAGCCTATGGGGGTGTGTCAAATGTTGATAGTTGTGATAGGTTGTAGTGAGTTGCTCCTTAAAGAGTATAACACAGTTAGGGTTGCCTATTTGTATTGCCTTGTTTCCTAAACTCACCATTCCGTTGCATTCTACTCTTGAGACAATCTTACCGTATTGTATACACATGAAAATTTCCGCCACATTTTATCTGCATCAAAGGCATGTACACATGTGCTGTGCAGTGCTTGCTAGAATACCGTTTGCTGGGTTGCAGGGCAGGGCATGATCCATGGGAACGGAGCGCAGAGGTGAAGCAACAATGGAGCTGATTACGCATAGGAAGGGTTTAAGTCATGCATTCTGCTGCATCACCCACCCACATGGCCCATTCGCTGCCATGAAGGAGGCAAGCAGAAGATCACAATTTCAATTTCGACTGAATCTCGGTCTCCCTATTTCGTTGCATTGCATTGCAACCAGCTCGCCCTCCTACCGTATGTGTCACTTCCAGCTCTCGCAGTGCCTTATCTGCTTCAGCATTCATGGTTGATATACTGTACGCAAAACACCAGACTTCATGGTACACGAGACAGAACCGCAAAAACTGCCCCTCCTCACTGCAACCACACTCCTCCACCCACTCAATGCACCCCTAAAGTGGCTGATTACTAGTGACTCAGTTTCTGCTGGTGTGTGACACCCATTTGCACCACTCTGCACTCGAGGGGATCATGCTGTGACTGAGAGATGGGCAGGCATGAGTGTAAGAAACAGAAAGCACTGAAAGAAGCGAAAGTAATTAAGAATCAACAAAACAGTGCGATGCATAACACGAGATGAGGTATGAGATGAAGTATAAGATGAGGTGCAGGAAAGGTCATGTGATGTATGGGATAAGGTATGAGAAGAGGTGTGGGATGAGGTATGGGATGAGGTATGGAATGAGGTGCAGTGCATAGCTGTTCCACCACTATAAATTCTTGCTTGAGTTCAAAACCATGGCTGTTCACAAGCACGAAATTCCAAAGCTGAAGACACTCCGATCTGGAGTGCCAAATACCGACACACCAGCATCTTGGTTCTGCCCATGCCCCAGATATTACCTCCCCTGAGTCGCCCTCCCCCCACGGCATGCCACCATGAGGAGGTGGCTGGTAGAAGCAGCTGAGAGGAGATAGGAGGGAAGGTGGGGTTGGGGGAGAGCATGCAGGGTCCCTCTGCTCCCACCATTAACTACCCATCAAGGACGAGGGGGAGGGGGGATGGGGAGGGGGAGAGAGTGGAGGGAAACAATTAGGAAGGTAGGCATGAGTGTTGGTGGGCATGTGTGTTGGCGGCAGGCATGCGAGGGTAAGGCGTTACATGAATCAAAAGGAATTCAGAAACGACGGTCAGTGTACTAGGGAATGGAGCATGATGGTTTGGGGTGTGGGATGAGGTGTGCGATGGATTAGGGTGTGGGATGAGGTGTGCGATGGAATGGGGTGTGGGATGAGGTGTGAGATTAGGTACGGGATGACTTTCTCGATGGTGAGATATGGGATGATGTATGGGATGAGGTGGATGTGCACAGCTGTCCCAATAATACATTTCCCTGCCAGCCTGCTCAACCAGGGCTTCTTAAGTAGCTCACAAACAAACTCAAAAATTTGAAGACCTTTCTAACCGAAATCCTAATCACCGCCACCCCAGCGCCCTTGGTTTTGCCGTTGCCGCAGCCCTCACCTCCCCTGAGTCGCCCTACCTCAACGCCACCATGGGGAGGTGGGATTGTGGGAGTGCGTGCCACAATCCCATGCGGGGTCCTTCTGCTGCTACCAAGGAGTGGGGATGGGGAGGGGGAGGGAGAGGAGGGAAACAAGTATGTGAACATCACAAGACAGAGAGAGGGGCATGGAGTGGGGCGCAGTACCTCCCCAGTAACGCCTCGCTTGCCACTCCTGCTGCCACTGTGACTTCAGAAGTAGATGAGGCGGGCTCAGTTGGGGCAGGTGGTATGCAAGTGGGTTTTGTTTATAACATGCTACCTACCACAGGTCGTGCAGCATCCACCGCCACTTCTGCAGCAGCAGATGGGGAGGGCTCAGGCGGGGGGAGGTCGTATGCAAAAGAGGTTGGTTGCTACCTACCCTAGGTCATGCAGCATCCACCGCCTCTGCAGCAGCCACGGCAGCAGAAACCACCGTTCTGGACATTGCCCGAAACCGTTGCACACTGCACATTGATTATTTCCTTCCCAGTCCCGGATAAAACTAAGAAACCTCATTGCAAGCATATCCCTCTGCCGAAGCAGAGGTACACCTCGTTGCATCGGTGATGAACCAACTGCTGAAACCACAACACCTTCATTATGCTCACCTTTCACGTTCTCCCTCACCTTTTCCGCCCATCTGTCATGATCTGTCTGCCAGTCATCTCAAGAAACGTGGTCAAGCAACCAGAAAGTGATGAGGCCGTATACATTAGAAGATAATGACGGGAGAGGGAAGTGAATGGGAATGGTTGTTGGGTTGAGAGGGGCGAGGTCGCCCATTGCAGTGATTGCAGCACCTCTTTGTTGCCACCATTCACCATCCGCCAGCGAGGAGGAGAGGTGGGGGAAAGAGGGAGTGGAGGTTGGAGAGAGGGGGAAAGAGAGCAGCACAAGGGGCATGGAGGAGGTATTGGGTATAAGTAGGCAGTTGTGGTGCACGTGATCTGGAAGGAATGGAGAAGTGCAGCCTGGCTGAGATGGTGGGGGAGTAGATGGGAGGGTGATGGAAGGAAGATGAGGAGGATGCAAGAGGGGGAGGGACACTTGGTCCGTACATAGGCTGACGTACGAGATGGGATGGGACATGGCTCCCAACGAGGCAGAGTCCCAGGTGGCTGCTTCTGGAGACGGTTACTGTGTTTGGGAAAGAAAACAGGAGGCAAGTCATGGCAAAGCAACGCCATGAGTATAAATAGAGATGTTGACTATACATGTGAGCAGGGCCATGTGAAAGCCATTTTGTGCATGCACAAACACCAAAATAATACTATATGAGCAACCTTGCCTACTATGGCATGTTGGAAGCGAGCCACCAGAGCATATTGGTCTTGGAGTTGCCATCATCAAACGCCGTTAGAGCAGCAATGTTCGTCCTGGCCCCCTGCGGGTCGTACAGCGCCTGCAGCGCCCACGCAAAGCCGCGCCACTCGTCCGTGGCGGCGCCACTCAGCACGGGTTGCGCCCACTCCACGAGCTGCTTGGCAAACTCGTGGTCCGGGAAGAGGTGGGTGAGGAAGGGCGACACGGGCAGCACCTGGATGCCCACGCGCTTCTCCATGTCCGCTGGCGGGACGAACCACAGCGCCGCGTCACGCTTGGTGGACCACAGCACACCCACCACGCGGTTGCCGTCCGCAAACACCGCCTCGTAGCCGGGTGAGAGGGACGGATCCGGATTAGACGAGGCGAGTGGCACGTGCATGAGGGTCTGGCCGGCGAGGGCCTCCACGGCGGCCAGCGTGGCGCCCAGCGTGGCCCAGCACGGACGCCAGCAGCGCCGCCGCGTAGTACGCGTTGGCCGCCTCGCTGAAGCTCTCCTGGTTGCGCCCGTCGCCGAATTCAAACAGCCCGCTGGCCCACGAGTGCAGCGCGTACGCGTCAAAGTGCCGCAGCCTCGGGAACGCCGCGGTGCGCTCCGCTGACATGTAGTCCGCCATCAGGTCCTTCAGCGGCGCACGGTACTGGTCGCGCCACGCGGGATCAAACTTGGCGACGGTGGCAGCGGCATAGATGAAGTAGCCGTAGTGGAAGTGGTGGTCGTTGTACATGCCCGCTCCAAACTCCGCCCCCTGGTCACGCGACCCCGCCTCACTCACCACGCCACCCCACGTGGGGTCGTACAGCAGGCGGTTACCGGAGAAGGTGCCATCCAGCCATGCGGAGAGCGCGGTCCGCAGGGGCGGCAGCACGGCGGCCAGGCTGTCCTCATCCCGCACCTGCTTTGCAATCAGCGCTAGGCGGGCGGCACGCGCCGCTATCTTGCCGAAGGAGTAGGTGGAGGGGGAGGAGAGGGGTGGCAGCGCCGCCACGTCCTGCTTGAGGCTTGCCCTCAGCTCGTCCAGCAGCTGGGGGTCGGACGAGAGTGGCCCTGTGCGCCACGTGGACGGCCGCTTGGGAACCTTGAGGTGCCACACCACCCCCTGCATGCCCACCGCCTGGCCGTCGATGGTGGGGTAGGCCAGCACTGACGCATCGAGCACCAACTCATCTCCCACGGACGACCACGGTGCATTGCCGCGTGTGATAGAGGGTCTGGCAGACGCGGAGTTGTGGTGGCCGCGCAGGGCGCCCATGGCGCCGGAAGGGGAGCTGCTGCGGTGACGGCGGAGGGCGGAGGCAGAGGAGGGGCTGTGCGCGCTCACCTCCATGCGCCGGTGCACTGCTCATGGGGGAGAATGGGCCGAAGGTGGGGAGGAACAGGGGATAGGGGGTTTAGTTTGATGGGCAGATGGCGAGGGTGATGGGTGATTGCCCTCATAACCCGATGACGCCTTGTGACGGCATTCCAGGTGACATGGCAGCACATATGGCAACACAGTCACTGCACGCCCCTACTCACTTGGCAGTGAGAGCATGAGCAGCGGCGCCTCGGTGTTACCATTGGCCGGCTCGCGCCACTGCTGGGTGCGCCAGGTGTACTTGATGCGGAACGCGCCCACCTGCGCACTCCCCCCCACCGGCACCGTGGGCACGTGCGCGTCCAGCAGCGCCTCCTCGTCCTGCGGGGAGGAGCCCGGCAGCAGCGCCACGCGAATCGTCCCCGTGAACGGTACGTCCGCTGCCAGCGTCGACCCGTCCTGCCTCAGGGTTAGCGGCGACGACAGGTACACCAGCCATGTCTGGTGTAGGGGAAGCGGATTGGGGGGGAAACGAGGGGACGGAGGTGGTGAGTACAGAGAGTAAGCAAGCGGGAGGGGGAGATAGTAGGAACCATGGGCGAGTGAGACAGCGAATGGGGCTGGTACGGCGGCGGTCGCTGGGCGGCAAAGGGGTGCGGTTGGCGCTGCGGACTGACCTGGCCGTTGTTGAGCGCAACATGGTACTTGCTGCTGTCGCTGCTGGCCTCCACTCCCGTGATGGCATGGATTGTCGTCAGCACGGGCGTCGCGGGGGGGCCGCCAGGGGGGAATATGAACGTGAGGAAGGGGGACCCGCGCACCAGGGGGACCTCGAGGATGGAGGGATCGGCGGGCGCGGAAGAGGGTTAGCGGACGGAGAGGGTGGCGGAGAGGTCGTCGTAGGCGGAGAGCTGGTGGGGGGGAAGGCCCTGCAGCGTGGAGATCATGAGCGCGGTGACGAACGCCTGCACAATGTACCCGGGTTGCGGGTCGCGCACCGGCAGCCCCCACGCGATGCGCCCCTCCGCGCTCTGCACGAGGTACGGCGTCACGAGCTCGGGGCTGCCGCCCTGCCCCAGCACCATGTTCTGCCACGGCGCGTTCGTCGGATACGGCGCCTGGGATCGGGGCAAGGGGGGAGTTCGACAGGATGAGGGGAGAGGAGTGGAGAAAGCACGGGAACTGAAACAGGGCTACGGCGCTGCTGCCGCGCACGGCGCGGCTGGCCTGGCCGGCCATGGTGACTAGGGAGAGCTGCGCCGTAGCGAGAAGAAATAAAAGAGTTGTCACGCAGCGGAATAGGAGAAAGCTAGACGAGAGCCTAGCTCCAGATTCGTCGACGAGAGAGTTGAGAAGAGATTCAAGAAGTTAGAATAGAAAGTAAATCCAAGGATAGGATTAGAAGATGAAGATACCAAGATGATACAAACAAGAACTAGAGAGATATTTATGCTAAGGAAGGGAGGAGCGCGACTCGGAAGGAAACCCGTGTCGCTACTCCTTTGGCATGGCATCTTGGCATAGCGTCTCGATGCCATGCTCTGCTGTATTCTAAGGTATGACGGGGATAGGGGAAACTGTCCTATGCTAGCAAGTGTTCCTGTTTGGAGCTAGCTAGGCAACGTCATCATTCTCTTTCGGAGATTCCCATGCATATCGCATGGCGGATCCCCAACCTGTTACATTATTCCCCTCCCCAAGAAGCATCGTCTCGATGCTTATCCAATCTAACTACTCAAAGGTCTAAATCAGAAAATATGACAAGCATCCAAGCATCATAAAGGTCCAAATCAGAAAACATATACAAGATATGCTTGATCTTCACTCTTGCTCTTCACTTGGTCTTCAGTTTTCTTCAAAAGAGGAGAACATCCAGAGTAGAAGCCAGGGGGTTCGGCATATAGCTGCAGCCCATACTACAGCTCTTGCGGTCACATGCAGCTCCTAACCATAGGGTGGAAAACTCCATAAGTCTTTTTCGTGTGCACAGTCTCAACCAAGCCCATGCTTTCACGCTATGGCGCTTTCACTGTACACAACAACCCCTATTAAGCTGCCTCAACGCTGGTGCTTATAGCACGTCCAGCAATACCTCCAAATATGCCTAGGACAGATTCAGAAAATGGAAACACTAGCCATCTAGTCAAGCACCTTGTGGATCCACTAAACATAAAGTGAAATAAGGTTACTTATGCTCTTTATATGTTACAGAGCAAAGGACTAGGCAGAGGCCTTGTGTTTCAAAGGGAAGAAAGGTGAGAAGTTAGATCATGCAAGAAGAAAATCATAAGCATGCTCATAGTTCCTCTTCATCCATGAGCAGATTATAGTAGAGATATCTTTCTACCATTTGCTGGAAGGGATCAGCTTCTCGAGAGTTCAAGTGAATGAAAAACGAATTCAGGGGAAGACCAAGTGGGAAATTTCCAGCAGAAAGTTTTGAGGTGAAGAAATCGAATTTACAAACGTTTTTTACCCAACTTCACCTCAATTCAACGAATCTGATTGAAGTTCGAAGAAGTGTAGCAGTAGAAGACTTCTTGAGCAGAAGGGTAGCATCGAAATCCGAAAATCTGCTCCCAAACTCTCCGGTTGGCTGAAATTCGCCCAATCACAGGTTCCCAAACCTTTACCAAGCAGATTTCGCCAACACCAAGCAGAATTCGACTTCGCTCTTGGAGCAGGCTGCAGGAGTCCTCGTCATCTTGGTGCAGCCAAATCCTCGTACTCTAGTTGCTCCAAGGTTAGGCTCGTCGAAGCTTAGAAGTGACAGCTAGCTAACCACGCGAATAGAAGTCGAGGTAATGAGTAGTAGCTAGCTCAGTACGAAAGTGGAAACTGAGGATCGATAGGCTCGGATACCAGTGAAACAAGGCTACGGAATAGGAGAAAGCTAGACGAGAGCCTAGCTCCAGATTCGTCGACGAGAGAGTTGAGAAGAGATTCAAGAAGTTAGAATAGAAAGTAAATCCAAGGATAGGATTAGAAGATGAAGATACCAAGATGATACAAACAAGAACTAGAGAGATATTTATGCTAAGGAAGGGAGGAGCGCGACTCGGAAGGAAACCCGTGTCGCTACTCCTTTGGCATGGCATCTTGGCATAGCGTCTCGATGCCATGCCCTGCTGTATTCTAAGGTATGACGGGGATAGGGGAAACTGTCCTATGCTAGCAAGTGTTCCTGTTTGGAGCTAGCTAGGCAACGTCACCATTCTCTTTCGGAGATTCCCATGCATATCGCATGGCGGATCCCCAACCTGTTACAGGAACGGGGGAAGACGAAATAGGAGATGCGCCGAGCCGCCGGCAAGGAGCAGCCTCCGAGTTTGAGAGGGCACTGGAGGCGGAAAGCGCGCGGAGATGGGAGAAGCGGAGAGCAAGCGCCGACGCCATGGCGGTGGGAAACTCACGGTGAGGTTGGCGAACCAAAGGGCGGAGGGCGCGGGAGCCACAGTGGAGGAGAGCGCGGGGAAGGCCGCCGACGCCATGGCGGCGGGGATGAGACGCGCTCGGAGTGCGGCGCCGGCGATGACAGGGGGAACGAGTTTGGCGGGGTGACAAGAGGAGACGGCACGCGAAGCGCGTGGGGGCGGTGAGGCGTGTGCCGTGAAGTTCAGATGCGGTCGGGGGGGTTGAAGGCGCTAAATCGGTGCTGCTGGACGGACGATGGCTGTTGCACCAATGGTGGCTCGTACATTCTGTGATCGCGGAAGCTACTAAATATATTACTTCGTCCTGGCCGTGGGATGTCACCTCCTGTGATGGTGGTGACGCCATAGCGCCGGACGCTGCAGACCGTGGGGCCCGCGACACGCGAATCAGTCGCGAACGCGAACGCGAATCAGTCTCGCTTCAGTCGAAGCGCTCGCTTGAATTCAATGGTCATTGGGCTCTCCACAGAAATGCGGCAATGCAGCAGCCAAGGCTAATTGAAGAGACCTCCACTGGTCCAAAACTGCACACAACGCGTGTGGTGCAGGGTTGGGATGGCTCGGGAACATCATGGAAGCCTCGCTTGTTACCCTCTTTCAGCAAAGCATAGTTGCGACCAAGGCAATGCGTGCGCGATGTTCCAGTCGGACGTTCACGACAAATGCGAAAACAGGCTGAGAAATCGTCAGTATCGCAAGTACTCTGTTCTTCGAGGTTCAACGAACGTGCACGTGGAATCGAGAGGGTCTATGCAGCACGACATTCGCGCTTGTCGTTCTTTGAACCACTATACGTCATTAAGCAGCCACGTTCCACACTACAAGTCACAGGGAATGTCAAATTACAATGTTGAATATTGAGAGTATATCAATTCTCTAACTCTCTAGTAGTTGTCACACAGTGAGCCTTCGAGTACAAGCCAGTGGTATGGAACCTGCAGAACAATCACAGTTACAATACTAAACAGGACTGAGCCAGGGATCGGCTCAGGGTTGTTCGCAGGTAGAATTGCAGCAGAAATAGTGACCTCATGTGAGAGTGAATTAAATGACTCAGATGATAATAATGCATACACCGAGTTATATAGGAATGCACAGGGAAAAATAAACGCCCTAGCTAGCCATGTACTATAATGGGTACATTCACTTATTACAGCGAATTTAAACCGTGCGGCGCTGGAACCCACTTCAAACCTGTTATCGCCATTTTCACTTTAAATGTTTCTGCCTGCATCGTTCTCGATCTGACGCTTGCTGGTCTCGCTTCAATTCTTCTGACTCCTCGTCTTCGTACTCGGTAAGGTCGGTTCCTGGAGCGTACTAGAAAGTTTCTTCATATATCTCAACACCCCCCTTCATTCCTGTGACTGTCGGGAGCTGAGTCGTTTGACTACTCCGATGAGGTTGGAGCACTACTGGTACTGCTGACGTGGCAGTTGCTTGGTGAGGAAATCGGCTGCCATCTCGGTAGTCGGGCAGTACGTCACATCGACCTTGCCTTGATCAATTTCGTCCTTGACGAAAAAATATCGCAGCGCGATGTGCTTCGTTCTGTTAACGAAGCCCCTCTTGTTCGAGATTTCTGATTGCACTCTGGTTGTCACAATGGAGACGAAAGGTGGGCAAAGTTGGGATTTTCGCATCCTGCATGTTCTCTTGTAGATAGAGCCCTTCGTGAACTGCAGTAGTTGCGGCGATGTACTCTGCTTCGGCTGACGACAGGGCAACCAGTCCCTGCTTCTGAGAATTTCAGTAGATTGGGCCCGTTGGCTCGAGACGGAAGACGAACCCAGTTCATGATCGTCGATTGGCAGGGTTAGCGGCGTGATCTGCGTCCACATAGCCGGTGAGATTGAATGATGGTGTTGTTAGTGTGGAGTAGGAGAGCCCGATGTCACGCGTGGAAATGAAGTACTGTAGGGCGCGCTCCAGGTCCAGCAGGTTCTCTGCTACTGGCTTGCGTGAATATTGTGCCAGCTGGCTGGCGATGTAAGAAAGGTCGGGTCAGCAGGTGACAGATGCAAACAGCAAGCACCCCAGTTGCTGCTGGTAAAGTTTGAGTCCTGCGGGCGACATAGGTTTGTAGTTGGCGTTGAGCGTGCGATAGGGGGTTAGTGCGGGTGGAATTTTGAAGCGCTCGCCTAGTTTCTCCGCATACTTGGAGGCTGTCAGGTGAATTGCTTCTGGCGCGCAAGTGATGTGCAAACCCAAAAACTGCGTGACTTTGTGGTTGATGGTGTTGTCGACGTGCTGCGCCACGTTCTGCTTGAACTGGTTGAGGAGCGTGTTACCGGTGCCTTTGTACAGCAAGTCATCAACGTAGACTGTCAGCACGATGTAGTCACCGTTGAAGTGAAGGCGGTACATTCGCGGGTCGTGTGGCAGCTGCTTGAAGCCGATCTCAAGGAGTATCTTGTGCAGATGCTGCTGCCAGAGCTGCGGCACCTGCTTAATCCCGTGGAGGGATTTTTTCAGCTAACAGACCCTTGGCTCTCCATTCCCGTAGGTCTGTGGCTGCTCCACGAAGAAGGTCGCATCGACTAGCGCGTATAGAAATGCATTATTCACGTCGATTTTCCGCAGTGGTGGATGCTTAGTGGTGGCGATGACGAGTAGGATTCGAATAGAGGTGTGGTGACTCACGAGAGCGGAAGTTTGATCAAAGTCAATTTCGTGCCGCTGGTCGTACCCACGTACGACCCACGTTGCCTTAAAACGCTCGATAGTGCCGTCCGCGGCGATCTTGAGATGAAATACCCATTTTCCGGATAGCACCCTTCTCCCCTTCACTACTGCACGATCGAC